TGACAAGGTGGCCATGGGGGCACAGCTGGGATTCCATAACCTTGGGAATCTTTCCCACCCTCAGTGACACAAGGCAAGTGCCAGGAGATGTCCCCACACCTGGAGTGAGCAGATAGGAGCCATCAGGAGTGAAGCTGAGCCTGCGGAAAAACGACTTCATGCTGTCATCGTGGAACATCCGAAAACTCCTCGCCTGCAACGGGAACACAGCACTGGGGAAAAGGGCAGGAATGTTCCAGCTGCAACCCCAGAGACACAAAACATCCACCTGAACACTTCAGCCTGATGGAATTGTTCAAATGAAACCTTTTAAAAGCCATGGCTCCTTCAAGATCTCTATAAATTCTTCACAGCTAAGAAAAATAATTCCTTGATCCCTCTTGAGCTGCGAAGCAAAACATTCCCAGAGCTGTCACCTTCAACCAGCCATCAAAAAAAAAGTCATAACCTGGAGAACAACATTATTTAACACCCAGTGGTGCTCAAGCAGCTCCTTCTAAGCCCAGGATTAGAGGTTGAAAGAGAACAACTCTCATGGCAAAGTGCCTGCTCTCAGGCCTGTTCTTCAGTGTCTCTAAAACTCCTACAAATGTTTTTCCCCTAAAAGAAAAGGAGTGAATAGAAGGGATTAAGAAAGTTATGGCCAGCTTGGAGGTGTTATTTTATTATCACTTAAAGCTGTTTGGGAGAAAAAAAAGCTCTTTGTTTTCCCTCTTAGGGTTAGAATTTCCTAAATTATCCCTAACTCCTATTTTTCTTCAAAATCTAACTACCTTCTTGAAAATTCCAGGCTAACTTTTAAATATTATTACTATGTCACATCCATTAATAAACTCCCAGCTACTGCCAGGTATGTCTGAAATTTTTCCTGTTAAGAACTATTTTTTTCCATGCTATTTTTAACTTTTACAACTAAGGGATTGTGTTACTGCTTTAATCAGCAAGAAATTTTGGGGCTGTGGTTTGGGGATGATGATGGCCACAGAAGTGGACACAGGATTTGAGGTGCAAAAGTCTTTTCCATTCTTGGCCTTGCTGCTGATGCCCAATTCGCCCTCACACACCCCATGCTGGTTGTCCTTACTCCCTTTTGGCTCTCATGGGGCTGCAGGTGACTTCCAGGTAGATTTATTCCATGTTTTCTCTGGGATTGAGGCTGCAGTGCCAGGATGGAGCTCTGACTGTTCTAAATATGGGAGTGGATGAGGGTGAAGTTCTCTTCCAACCTTGATGATTCTGTGATATGGGAATTATTTGAATGGAAAATATTTGATCCTTTGTTTTCATGGAACAAAAAGTTGAGATAAAAGAGCCCTCAGCAGAGTTTCCAGCCCCAGCCTCACCACCTACCTCTCCTTCAGCTCCTGAGCCCGATGGCATCTTGGTGACATTGAAGGCCACTCGCTTGGTTTGGGTGCTGTAAACTCGCAGGACCCTGGGAGGGAGAGCAGAGTCAGCCAGCAGGGAATCATGGAATGGGTTGGGATGGGAGGGACATGAAAAATCAGCCATTCCATGGGCAGGGACACCTCCCACTGTGCCAGGCTGCTCCAAACCCCAGTGTCCAACCTGGCCTTGGGCACTGCCAGGGATCCAGGGGCAGCCACAGCAAATCTGGGAATTCCAGCCCAGCCCCTCCCAGGGAACAATTCCTGCCCAAAATCCCATCAAATCCTACTCTGAAGCCATTCCCTGGGTGCTGTCCCTCCATTCCCTGGGTGCTGTCCCTCCATTCCCTGGGTGCTGTCCCTCCATCCCTTGGCAATTGTCTCTCTCCATGGTTCCTGCAGCTCCTTCAGGCCCTTCGAGGCCACCCTGAGCTCAGCCCAAAGCTTCTCCTCTCCAGGCTGAACAATCCCAGCTCTCTCAGCCTTTCTATGAACAGCTTCCTTTCACCTCAAGTTTCCCAAAAATGCCCCAGGACCTCTCTCCTCACTCAGCACCTCAAAATATAAATCTGGACCACTAATTAACCATTAATTAAAATTCTCCTCATGAGACACCACCAGAGGAATGTGTTTTAATGACTAAAGAACCAATGAACCCCTCACAATGCTTGGACTCCACAAGGTTTGGAAAGTCCCAGCACATGGATTTATGGAGGAATGAGGGAATTAGCAAAGTGCCAGGCTCTTCCTAACTGCACTGTGGGTTCCTCAAGATTGGGAACTCACCTTAAAAACAATTAACTACATCTCCATCAGTCATATCATCATGGAATGCTTTGGGCTGGAAAGGACTTTAAAGATCATTTAATTCCACCCCTACTACGGCAGGGACACCTTCCACTGTCCCAGGCTGCTCCATCCCCAAGGATGAATTTATCAGTTCATGAACACAACCATGCAGCACTCTCTTAACAGTATCAAGAGTGATCAATAACATAAAAACTTAATTCCTAAAGGAACATTCCTACAAAAGTTTATTTGCTGCTAAGAGAGACTGTAGGAATTGTTTACCACAATCCAGAAAATGAACTAAAATATCATTTTACTTTCACATCAACTTGCTTACACAACAAAGTGATTAACACAAAACCTCTTGTTTATCTGGCATTCTTCCTTTTAATTTATCCCCCTGGAAAAAGGAAGGTTCAGGAAAAACACTCAGACCAACAGCTCACCTGTCACAACTCAAGGTTGCAATATACTGGCCTAGAGGATCCCAGGTTACTCCTTGGACATAACTCTTGTGCTCATTAAATATTGAAACTTTCTGTCCTGAAAGTACAAACAGCTTTCAGATCATAAATTCAAACGTATTTCCAAACATTTCAGACATAAAACAAGACAAAAAAAATGCTTCAAGACAAAACAAGACGAAAAAAAAAAAGACAAAAAACGTAGGGAAATAATTTTTTAAACATTAAAAGTGTTCACTGGATGGTGGCTGATAAGAATGTCAGCAAAAGTTGCTTTTCAAGTGTCAGTTTAAGGTTTGTTCACTACAAACTTAGTAATTAATTAGAATTAATACTAGATTAATATCAGAACTCAGCTAAGCAAAGGTAGGAGCTCTCTGACCCCACTGATGTTCCACAAGGGAAGGTCTCAGAGCCAAAACATTGATGAGACAAAGCTACAGAGAATTTTAGAAATGTTTTGTTGAATACTGGCCACAGGTGGGATTTTTCCTATTATTTGTTGCTTTCTTGCAAGGAAATACCAGAAGCTGACAAGTTTCAAAGAAAATAAACAGCTTTTCAAAAGGAAGACCCAAGAAGAAAGAAAAGAGCTGAGGCCATGCTGCACCAAAAAGTGGAGTAAGGACTACAGAAGATGTTTGTGCAAGAGTTTTGGGGGGTAAAAAATGCGTGAAGTTATTTCCTAAATACTCCAAGGTGAACACATTCCTCAGGTGGAAATTTTGTTGGCCTGAGAATATTTTATATCTATTTATAGAAGGGCCTCACAGACTCAGAAAATCACACAGAAAAACAATCACATAAAAAGATGTTTCCCATTTTTTTGGAGGGGGGGAAATGCCATGAGGCACTTCCAGCACATCTGGAATTCCAAGGGATAACTGCAGCATTTACCTTTATTGACATCCCACATGATTGCTGTGTTATCCACAGAAGCAGATGCCATGTAATTCCCATCTGAGGTCCAACAAATATCATACACATCTTCCAAGTGGCCTCTAGAAGGCAGGAGAAACCAATTATTAACTTGAATATTAAAAGCTATGTATGAATTTATGAATTTTTAGATTAAAAAAAAATATCAAGAGGCCAATAAAGGCTCCTGCTGGTGCTTCAAGCACTTCTGCAACTCTTCTCACACCAAGCTCAGCAGCTGCCAGGAACTGCTCCTTCAGCTTAAAACTATCGTCCCTTGTCCTGTCATCACCTGATTATTTAAAATGCCTCTCTCCCTCTTTTTTTTGAGTCCCATTAACGGGGAGTTAAAAGGATTAATATTAGAGCAAATAAACAAAAACACTGAAAAGAAAACCAAACTCACCAAATAATAAATTACCTTAAAGTTTTAACAACTGCCCAGTTCTCCTTGTTGAGCTGAGCTTCATCATCATCCTGAAAAACCAACGGCTCCAACTCTTTGCTGTCATTCAGCTTCCACAGCAAAATGACAGCATCTGTGGAAGAAAGCACAGGAAGCTGCTTCATTTCCCACTCCCTTTTGCTCATGGAAAACACAATGCAGGTGGATTTTATTGAGTTTAACTTCAAAATGATGCAGGATGAGACAGAGGAGAAGCAGCTCTCACCATCCCCTCCTGAGGCCAGGATGTCCCCGCTGGGAGAGAAGCGCACGACGTTCACGGCCTTGGTGTGGCGAGCCAGGTTGGACAGGAATTCCACGATGGCTTTTCCATCTGGGCCTTTCTCCACTTTCCAGATCTAGTTAAGGGCAAGATGTGATGTCACAGGATCATCAAGGTGGGAAGATATTGTGTTTGATCTTTTTTTTCTCTTCTGCCAGACTCGGGATTAAAAAGCTCGAGAGATGGTATTTCACATTTGGACTGAGGTGTTTATTAATTCTTATTTTTGTCACAGTGAGTGCTACAGCACTTCAAGCTAAAAATGGTGAAATGCTGATGTATCTTTCTCGTTACAAGGTCTTTTAAGGCCTAACTGTTCAATTAAGAACTAACACTTAAATTATTTTTACTTTTCACACAATGACCAACCACTCGTGGCCTGTAATATGGAATTTTCTATCCAATTAAACAAGATCTCACCTAGACCCATGAAGAAAGAAACCTCTGCCCCAAAACCTCCATCTTGCCTACATTCCAAAACCTTAAATTCCGAATTTTCCACCTTGTGATATTACACACTTTTATCCAAACTACACAACAGTGATTCTAATTCTATCATTCAATTTTGGAAGCTTTCTCCACGGCTTCAGGTCAAATGCAGAGCTCTCCTGAGGGTCAGTGCCTGTCAGCACAGAAAGTCTGAAATTCTCAGCGACCAGTGCTCCAAGAGAAAGGGACTTTCAGGGTCACCCAGTGCCAGCAGCATCCCCCAAACCCTGTCCCCAAGGGCCACATCCAGCCTGCTCCTGAACACTCCCACAGACACTGACTGCAAACCTCCCTGGGCAGCTCATCCCAAGGCCTGACCACTCTGCCAGGGAAATTTTCTTTGCCAATCTCCACCCTGAGCCTGCCCTGCTGCAATTTGAGGCCATTTCCTCTCCTCCTTTCCCTTGGGACATGGCAGGAGAGCTTGACCCCACCTCACTTCACCCTCCTGGCAGGGAGCATCTTTTATATCAAAGAAAACTGACATTTTTCTAGCCCTAAAATATGTATTTAAAAATCCCTAAAATATATGCACCATCAGGGAAGAAGAGGTCAGTTTGCCATTGAGGAGACAACTGGAACAAACTGCTACAGAGACTATTTACAAGAGTATGTAAGGACAATGGGGAGTGGCTTCAAACTAACAGAGATGGTTTAGACTGAATATTAGGATGAAATCCTTCCCTGGGAGGGTGGGCAGGGGCTGGGCTGGAATTCCCAGAGCAGCTGTGGCTGCCCCTGGATCCCTGGCAGTGCCCAAGGCCAGGTTGGACATTGGGACAGTGGAAGGTGTCCTTGCCATGGCAGGGGTTGCACTGGATGAGATTTCCAACCCAAACCACCCTATAATTCTACAGACAGCTGCACAATCTTATATTCTTCCCTGAAACCACCCATTCCCTGCCAATAACTCAGTATTTCGGATAGTGAAACCAACTCGATATTTTGGATAATGAAACCAACCCGGTATTTTGGGTAACGAAACCAACTCGATATTTTGGATAACAAAACCAGCCCGGTATTTTGGATAACAAAACCAGCCCGGTATTTTGGACAGCCAGGCCCAGGCGTGGCTCACCCTCACGGCCGTGTCCACCCCAGCCGAGGCCAGGCGATTGATCCTCCCATCCGCTCCATGCTGGAAATCCAAGCTGTAAACCGGCTCCTTATTGTGCCACACTATTTCACAGGTGATGACCTTCATGTTTCCTGGAAAAAACACAACAAACCCCGCATCAATTCTTGTTCCTCAAGGCTCGGGAGAGGCCAAACTTTGTGCAGATTTGCCAAGCACCGCTGGCAGAGCCTGGAATTGCACCGCAGTCATTGACAGGATGCTTTGAGGAAGGCTGTTTCTAAAAGTTGTGATTATTATCGCTGAAGTTCCTGTTTAGGGATTGCAAAAGGATTGTACCAAGCCTTGTGCATCGGTTTAACACTTGAGAGAAAAACTTTTTTTGGAGGAAATAACCCCATCCGGAATCCAAACAACGAGCGGGGCACGGGCGGCCCTGCGCGGGCTGGGGAAAGGCAGAGGCGCTGCCGGCCGCTCCCGGAGCTCCGGGGATCCCCAATCCCGCTCTCCAGACCTCGGGGACCCCCAATCCCACTGCTCAAAAAAACCCAAAAATCCTCAAAAATCCCAAATCCCCCCCCCGCCCTCCTCTCACCTGGGCCCGCCCGCGGCTCCCGCGCGCTCCCGCCGCGCCCGCCCCGCGCATGCGCGCGCCCGCCCCGCGCGCCGCCTCAGGAGCCCTCAGGGGCGGCCGGCGGGGAAAAATAAACCCGCAAAAACATCGAAATTAACCTAAAATGAGAGAAAAAAAACAAAACCCAATGCTTGCACCTCCTCAGAAGAGTATTTGTGTTGTTTTTTGTTTTTGTTTTGATGACATACAAACAGGTCAAAGGTTAAAAACCAAACTAAAGAATTCTCAATACGTGTAAACTCACAAGAATGTTTGAATATGTATAGTCTTCTTTAAGAATATACAAATAACTAATATAATGAAAGAAATGTATAAAATTTCAAGCTAATGGTGTGATTTTTGGCAGTTTGCCAAGCACTCCAGCACTAGATATTGTCCCTTTTATCTGTTATTGAACTTTAAAAAAAATTAAATATGAACCTTAATTTCTTGCCCCAGGGATCCCCAGTTCTGCTCCCCACAAACCTCTGGATGCAATTCAACCCTTCCTTACCCATGTCCTTCCAGCTGAGGGAGAAGGATGTGTATGGAACAGGGGATTTGGAAATTATTTGTACAAAAGTCCTGAGGAGTTCCATGGCAGTAGGAATTGCCTTGGGATGCCAGGATGGAGCAAGCCCAGGAGCTTGGAGAACTCCAGAACATGAATTCTGACATCCATGTACCAACAGCAGAACTTCCTGAAATCCAGCTCCACTCCATTAACACCCCTGGATTATCCCAACACTGCTTTTTCCACATCCAGGCCATTCCCATCCCA